GCATTCCTGGTGTGGACAGAGTGGGGCTCGCTCACCCTTCTCCTGCCTCGCGCAGGTACCTCCGCACGCTGTACCTGGGGCTGCAGAGCCGCTGGCAGGCCGAGCACCGCCGCCGCCACTTCTACTGGCGCATGATGTTCGAGAGCGCCGACATCAGCATGCTGCGGCTGCTGGAGGCCTTCCTCAAGAGCGCGCCCCAGCTCGTGCTGCAGCTCAGCATCATGGTGCAGCAGAACTACATCGAGCCGCTGCAGGGTAAGGGACGGCGCGTGCAGGGACGGGGTGTGGGGAGGGACGTGCCTGGCTGCTGTGGGCTCTCATGGCTGCTCCCCACAGGACTCTCAGCCTCGGCCTCGCTGGTCTCGCTGGCCTGGATGATTGCGTCCTACCAGAAGGTGCTGCGGGACTCGCGGGAGGACAAGATGCCCATGTCCTACAAGGGCGCCGTGGTGCAGATCCTCTGGCACCTCTTCACCATCGCCGCTCGTGCCATCGCCTTTGCCCTCTTCGCCTCCGTGTTCCAGCTCTACTTCGGCATCTTCATCGTCACCCACTGGTGCATCATGACCTTCTGGATCATCCAGGGCGAGACGGATTTCTGCATGTCCAAGTGGGAGGAGATCATCTACAACATGGTGGTGGGCATCATCTACATCTTCTGCTGGTTCAACGTCAAGGAGGGCCGGAGCCGCTACCGCATGTGCATCTACTACATCATCACGCTGTCAGAGAACGCCGCCCTCACCATCCTCTGGTTCCTCTACTACGACCGCAAGGCCACCTCCGACTTCAACGCCTTAATCCTCGTCTGCGTGGTTAGCTCCAGCTTCGCCCTCGGCATCTTCTTCATGTTCATCTACTACTGCCTCTTGCACCCCAACGGCCCCATCTTCAGCCACCGCTCCGTGGGCTGCATCTTCCGCCAGGAGCCGCCGCCGGTGCCGGGCTCGCCCGTGGAAGCCGTCACCAGCCCGCCACGCTCGCTGCCGCGGACTACAGGGGGGGAGCGGGACGGGGCGCCGGGGGAGTGGGACAGCTGCGTGCCCGTCTTCCAGGTGAGACCCTGTGCCCCGCCGGCGCCGGCCGCCCGCGCCCCGCGGACAGAGGGGCCCGTCATCCGCATTGACCTGCCCAGGAAGAAGTACCCGGCCTGGGATGCCCACTTCATCGACCGGCGCCTGCGGAAGACCATCCTGGCGCTGGAGTACGCGTCGCCCACCACCCCCCGGCTGCAGTACCGCACCCCCGGCGCCCCGCAGGAGGTGCTGGAGTACGAGACCACCGTGTAGGCTGCGGGGCGTGAGGCTGCGGCGGGAGCGCCGGTGCCACCCGGGCCACCCCGTGTCTCCACAGCTGTCTGCCTTCCTTTGGGTTCGCCGGCGCTGCCGTGTCGCCATGCCAAGCATCTCGTGGGCGGTGGCCGGGGAGGTCTCTTGGTGCTATCCCCTCCCCGCGCTGCCTTCCCGCAGCCCAGACCCGTCCCACCCGACGGCGGCCGCCCCCGCGCCCTCCAGGGCTCGTCCTTGCCAAAATACCTCACCGGTGCCTGAGCCCAGGCGGTGGGTGCTGTGGCCCATATCAGGGGTGCAGGATGGGGACCGGGGGCACCTTGGGATGGGGCTGGCAGCTGCCGGGGGCACGGTGGGGCACGGTGGGGCACGGTGGGCAGCACACAGGAACACAGGTGCCCGTGCCACGGCAGAGCCGTGGGGGTGGAACATGGCTGCACTGGGGTGTGCATGGGGCTTGTGACCCCCGGGGAGCTGGGGCAGGGACAGCCGGGGTCCATCCAGTCCCTCCCATGTCTCCCACTTCCCCCACACCAACCCGAAGTGAGCCCTTCATATCCATCCTCAGTCCCCCAGGCTCAGGGTTGAGCCACGTCCCCAACTCCATGGGGTCTCCAATATCCTGTGGGGCGTAGGCCCTGGCCTGGGGGGGCCCCTTGTGGGTGGGCACGAACCTTGCACCCCTGGTTTGGAGCTGGGTCCCCAGCTGTGGCCAGGATGGCTGCACCCCATCCTCCCCCCATCCCCACAGGAACTGCTTCATCTCATTGGGTTTGTTTTCACCTGAATGGTGACGTTTTGTGTGACATTTTCTACCTCCGCTGGGGCCGGGGGTGGCAGGGCCTGGCTGGCACCACTGAGGGGTTTGTGCGGGGCCGCCGGCGTTCCCCGGATTCCCCAAAGTGGGATTCACCCCCAGCCGTTCTCCTCTCCTGGGCTGGCATCCCTTCCCACCCGGGAGCATTTCCATTCACTCCTTCATCAGCATCACCCCCTCCAGCTCCGCAGTGTAAACCTGAGCTGGGACCCTCCCTGCCCTGACCTCACCCTGTGTGCCCCCTGCCTGTCCCTGCCTGTCCCCAGTCCCTGCTCCTGCCTCCCCGGAGGCGTGGGGCTGCTCGGGCTCTGGGTTTGAATGTGTCCCTGGTCCTGCCCAGATCCAGCGGCCCCAGCGAGGGGCTGTGCTGAATGTACCCTGTGCCCCCCGGGCGGGACTGCCCCGGGTGTGTGTGTGTGTGTGTGTCTGTGTGTGTGTGTGTGTGTGTGTGCAGGGCCTGGCAGGGGTTTGCAGGGCAGGGGAGCTCTTGGACACCCCAGCCTTGTGCTGCCCCCCTTGCCCCCCACACCCACGGCCCCTGTGCCTTCCCTGCATCCCCTGTGCCCCCGCCACGGCTCCAAAGGGTTCCAGCCTCTGGCTGCCCCGAGCCACAGTGCCAAGCCCTGCCCGGGCCGGGAGCGTGGGCAGCACTGAGAGCCCCCCTGTGCCATGGGGCACCGTGTGAGGCACTAGAGGATGGGAGGAGTGGGATGGGAGAGCTGCACCTGGGAACGGCTGGGACGTGGGGTCCCTGAGGGCCAGTGTGGCTGCCCAGCCCTGTGACACGGCCGGGTGGGAGGGTGTGTGGTGGCAGTGGCGGTGGCATCACGTTGCTTTTGTTCCCCATTTCTTGCCAGCTGGGGTGACAGCAGGCTGGGCTGGCCGTCGCTGGGTTCACTGGTGCTAACTGGTGCTAACTGGAAGCCTTGGAAACCCTTTAGGAGGAGGGTGCAGAGCATGGCTGGGGCTGGGCAGTGGGCTGGGCCCCTGCCACCTGCACGGCTCCTCCACTGCCACCACGGCAGCCCTGGTGGTGTGTGCTGGTCATGCTGGGGCACTCCTGTGGTGTGTGCTGCTCGTGCTGGGGCAGCCCCGGCGTGGGGCAGCTCTGGGGTGGGGTCTCTTTTCCTCAGGGAAGGTGGGGGCAGCAGCCGGGGTACCAGGCTGTCCAGGGGCTCACTGCTGCAGGCATCAAGCAGTGTCACCGCAGCCCCCGAGCGGTGCCCAGGTTGGTGGCAGCTCCTCCCTGGGTCTGGCTCACAGAGGATCTGGGGATGGGCCATTTGGGGACTGTGTGCCAGCACGGGGTGGCTCCTCTGGGCTCCCCCTGCCCCTGTCCACCCCAGGGCAGAGATGCCATTTGTTCATACCCTTCACGCTGGGGTTTGTGTGGGGACCCCAGGGCCACGCTGGTGGGTCAGAGGGACACTTTTCTATGCACTCAAGCCACGGTACCCTCAGCCCTGGGCTGCTGTGGGCACAGGAGTCTGGCCACGTGTGGGGTTCGGGGGGACCCCTCAGTCTCACTCCTGCCCCAGGCCACCCCCCTGAACCCACCCACCCTGTGCCACAGCAGCAGCCAAACCCAGCGCCGGGTCCCCGTGACGAGGGACACGACCGGGGGCCAGCATGGGCACAGCTCCAGGGGTGCTCGAGCTCCCACTGGGGATGGCGGGGTTCTGGTCCCTGGGGGTGTCACCCAGGGGTGGCAGCAGGGCTGCTCCAGCTTCAGGGAGTGAGAGAAGTTCGTTCTGGCAGGGGCTGCCGCGGGGTCTCAGCCACCTCCCCGACCCCCCGGCGCTGGGACCCGGCGGCTGCTGTCACGTACTGTAAATACTCTGTGTGCCACCTTCTTCTCTGGGACCCTCGGCGTGGGCGGGGGCGAGCGGGAGGCCGGGGTCCGTCCCGAGACTTTTTTGTATACCACAAACTTTTTGTATATTTTTAATTTTGCTGCAACATGAGATATTAAATTCATTTCAATAAGCCCTGCCTGTGGGATCCTGTCCTTGTCGGCACCTCCAGCTCACAGCTGGGGCTCCAAAGCAGGGCAGGATGGTTCCTCTCTGTCCCGGACTGCTCGGGGACACCATTAGCAGAGCAGGGTGGCTGTAGCAGCGCTGCCTGCCTGGTGTCGGTGGCCCTGGCCGGTGCCAGTGTCCCTGGCGTGGTGGCCGGCAGGGAAGGGGTGCACAGGCAGGATGCGGCATCTCGGGGAGGAAGCTGCCGGACACGGCCACTGCCGGACCAGCCTCCTCCCTGCCCCCGCCGGAGGCCCCGATCCCCCGGGCAGCCCCCAGACTCACGGTGGGTTTAGACCCCATGGGCAGCTTGGGGACAGAGCTGGCTCAGCTGTGTGGGCTCCTGCCAGTGCTGCTCCCAGTGCCAGGGCCGTTCCCAGTGCCAGGGCCCCGCGTGAGCAGGGCAGGATGTGGGCAGCGAGGGCTGGGAGCCCCCAGGGCTGCCCCATGAGGACGGGGGTGATGTGGGGTCATAGGGAAGCAGAACCAGCCCCAGCCTCAGGAAAGAGCCCCGCAGAGAGGGGCAGGAGGGGCTGCTCCATAGCAGAGTCCCACAGGCACCATCAGCACCTGCTTTGGCCCCAGCACCTGCTCCAGTCCCACCTCAGCCCACTTCAGCCCCAGTCTGCCCAAATCCCAGCCCCAGCCTCGGTATAGGTGTGAACCCCAGCCCCAGCACCAGTCCAAGTCCCTGCTCCAGTCCCATCTCAGCCAACTTCAGCCCCTGCCTCTGCCCAGGTAACAGCTCAGCCCCTATCCCAGTCCTGTCCCAGCCCTGTCCCAGTCCCAGTGCCAGCCCAGTCCCAGTGTCAGTGCCAGCCCAGCCCAGCCCAGCCCAGTCCCAGCACCCCCCAGGAGAGGCAGGAACTCACATCCCGGCTATCCTGGTGGAGTTTCCGACACAGGAAAGCGCCGCGGCGCCGAGCGGGGCAGAGGGGGCGGCCGCAGCACCGCGTCCTGCCATGGACAGCGAGGCCAAGAAGGGGAAGAAGGTGCGTGGGGCTGGGGCCGGGGGCCGGAGGGGTGCCAGGAGGGTGGGAGCGGGTGAGATGCACAGGTTTGAGAGGCGCCGCACCCCTTCCACAGCACGGCGGGAGAAGGGGAGCCACGCAAATAGTGCCAAGAGCCAGCAGAGGCGCTCGGCTGTCGCCTCCCCTCGCCCCAGGTGCTGGGTGCCACGGACCCCGTGTGTGGGCACCAGGGTTGGGTGCCCGGTGCTGACCCGTGCCCGTGCCCGGTCCCCTGCCAGGGTTTCGTGTCGCCCATCAAGCGGCTGGTTTTCCCGAAGGCTGCGCGGAGGGCAGCGCTCCGCAGCAGCGTCTACCGGCGCCCGCTGCACTCCGTGCCCCTCTACCCCCCCGACTACCTGATCGACCCCCAGATCCTGCTGCACGACTACGTGGAGAAGGAAGTGAAGGTAAAGGGATCCCCAAAAGTGCCCGGGGTCACTGCTTGCTTGGGGTGGGGTTGAGAGCCATACACAGAGCGGCCAGAAGGGTCCGGGTCCCCTCCCTGCCCAGGCAAACACCCAGCGAAGAGGAGGGTGCGCGGCGGTACAGGGAGGACCCCCTAAGTGCAGGGTGTCCCTGAACCCCAGGTAGACGTGTCCTGACCTTGGGGCCATGGGCCGGGGGGAGGGTGCATGCCCCGACCTCCCCAAGCTGCCCTGGGCTTTCCCCCCCTCCAGTTTTTAGGTCATCTGACATGGGTGACATCGTCCCTGAACCCCTCCAGCCGGGATGAGGTGCTGCAGCTGCTGGACACGGCCAGGGTAAGAGGGGTCCCCCCTCCCCGGAGGGTGGGCACGGGGTACCCCCCACTGCCGGGTGCCCCACGCGCCCCCCGCGCTCTGTCCCTGCAGCAGCTGAAGGAGCTGCCGCTGCAGACCACGCCGGAGCAGGACAGCATCCTCAGCCTCTCGGCGCGCTGCCTGCTGCTCACCTGGCGCGACAACGAGGAGCTGATCCTGCGAATCCCCACGCACGAGATCGCGGCGGCCTCCTACCTGCGCGACGATGCCCTGCACCTCCTCATCCTCAAAACCGGTGCGGGGGTCCGGCCGGGGGCCACCAGCCGAGGCGCAGCCGGCCCCGAGGGGCTGGGAGGGGCTGGAGCACGGGGAGTGATGGGTGTCAGAGTCTAGCAGGGCAGCAAAATCTGCGTTGTCCCTGTCTTGGTGTGCCCCATCCTCTCCTACACAGAGTCCCGGAGGAGTGTCCCCAACCCACTGGGGACTCCCACACCCCCATCCCTCTGCACACCTCGGGGCTGGTGGGACAGGAGGCCGGGGCAGGGGCTGGGACCAGGCAGGGTGGGCAGCGCAGCCCCCGCCCTGACGCCCTGGCTGTTCCCGCTCCCCCAGGCCTGGGAGTGGACCCGGTCCCCGCCGGGGCGCACCCCGAGGCGGTCCCGCCCGGCTTGCCGGAGGCGTTTCCCGCAGAGAAGCGAGCGGGGGGCTCGTGGCCGGAGGGGCGGCTGGGGGGCCCGATGGAGCGGCGGCACACGATCTGCAGCCTGGACTGGCGGGCGGCGCGGGGCGGGCAGGAGGCCCGGCAGGGCGGCAGCCTGGAGCGGCGGCGGGGCGGCAGCTGGGAGCGAGGCACCGGCTTCGGCAGCTGGGAGCGGCGGCACGCCGGGAGCAACCCCCTGGACCCCCAGGAGCCCTGCCCGGACGCTTACTCCAACCTCGTTATCCTCGCCGTGCCCAACAGGGTGAGCGGTGCCCGCGTGTGCCAGCCTCCGGCCGCTCGCCCGCCCACCGGCGCTCACTGCCCGCTCCCTTCCCGCTGCAGGATGCTGGGGAGGAGTCCTGCGCGCTCATCTGCCAGGTGTTCCAGATCATCTACGGCGACCAGAGCATCGAGTGCGTGGACAGAGCCGGGTACCACTACACCTCCACGCCCACACGGCCCTGGCTCTCCAGCAGGAGTGAGTGGCTGAGGACAGCAGTGGGAACATCAAGAGGGGTGTCATGGGGCTGACGGGTGGGGGTGCACAGACACATCGCGGGGGGTTTGTATCTGCTATGAGCTCTCAGCTCTCCCTCCCCAGGCGAGAGCTGCCGCACAGATGGGACATACGGCTACGATGCTGACTACAGCTGCTGCAGCTCCTTGTGAGTCTGGCTCCCCCAGGGTGCCCTTGGGCTGGGGTGGGTCCCACCGGACCCCCAGGGTGCCCTGGGTGGGTACCCCTGCCCTTGGTTGGGTGCCAGTCCCCACTGCAGTGATGCCCCAGCCCTACCTGGTGGTGGGTGCTGTGCAGTGGGTGGGGGCAGCTGGGCACACGAGGGGTGCAGGGACCCACTGACCCGTGTCCTCCCACAGCAATGGCTCCCACGAGACCTTTGAAGCCTATTACAGCGGCACCTCCTCGCCCTCCTTCCACCGCTCCCACCACAGCCTGGCCACCGCTTGCAGTGGCAGTGACCAGAGCAGCGCAGGGCTGGAGCAGCTGCAGGACTACATGGTGACGGTGAGGCCACAGGGGTGGGCACAGGGACAAGCAGCAGGCCGGCAGCGCCAGCAGCTGGGGCAGGGGAGGAGGCAGGTCTGGGCTCCCTGTGCCAGAGAGCAGCAGCAGGACACAGGGTGGGGGGCTGGGGGCTGTGTGCTGCTGGTGTCCCCAAGCCAAAGCCATCCCTGTGTCACCGCAGCTGCGCAACAAGCTGTCACCACAGGAGATCCAGCAGTTTGCCATCCTGCTCCGCGAGTACCGGCTGGGCACGCCGGTGCAGGAATACTGCACTGAGCTGCTGCGCCTCTACGGGGACCGCAGGAAGTTCCTCCTCCTGGGTGAGTGTCTGCAGCCTCCCTGTGTCACTGTGTCACCTGGTGATGTCTGTGCATCCCTTGGGGACATGGGGCTGGCCCTGGGTGTGCTATCAGGATCCTGTCACTGGGGGCAGGATGGGACAAACCAGTAGGGCTGGCATTGCCCACCTGGGCAACCTCCCGAGGCTTAGGGTGCCTTTGGCAGGAATGAGGCCCTTCATCCCCGACCAAGACATCGGGTACTTTGAGACCTTCCTGGAGAGCATCGGGATCCGGGAGGGCGGGATCCTCACCGACAGCTTCGGCCGCATCAAGCGCAGCATGAGCAACACGTCGGCCTCGGCCGTGCGCAGCTACGACAGCTGGTCCCTGCGCTCCGAGTCCGAGTCCTTCAACCGCATGATCACGGACATCACCCACGACATCGAGGCGCTGGCACGGGATGAGGAAGAGGAGGACGAGGAGGAGGAAGAGGACAACTACCTGTGAGCCAGCGGCAAAACCCAGCTCCTCTCCCTGCTCGCTGATGTGGTGCTGCACCTCCAGCACCAGGCTCTGCGGGTGCCCAGCTCTGCCACAGAACCAGGGAGGGTGAATTTGTCACTGTGGGAGGGGACAGGCCTCTGCACTGCCCTGTCAGCTCTTGTCAAGGCTGTGGGAATCACAGGGCAGCTGCGGCTGTGGGGGAGACACATGTGCTGTAATTTGTGCAGATTTCAATTAAATGCTGGGGCTGGGAGCAGAGCAGGTTGTGCCCTGGGAAAGGCCCTGCCAGAGTGCAGGGGTTGCTGTGGTGTGGGGGTGAGCTGGGGCAGGGGGCTGCTGGCAGGGCACTTGCCCACTCCAGTGTCACATGGAGGTCACCACCACTGCCAGGGTGCTGCCGGCTGTTCCTGGCTGGCTCCAGGGGATGCTCAGAGCAATGGAGGGGGTCAGCAAGAATGTGCTGGGAGAGGAAAGGGCTGGTGGCCGCAGCTGGCCGCTACTGCCTGCGACGCTTGTGCGACGCTCGTCCGGCCGCGGCTGCGGCTGTTTCACAAAGGGAAGTTCCTGCCCCGGGGCCCGGCTTCCTGCGGGCCCGCCCGGCAGCCGCTCCGCCGCCGGGGCAGGGCCGCGCTCCCGCCGCCCCGTGGACCTCGGGGCTGTTCCCCGGCCGCCGTCCCCGTCCGATTCCCCCTGGCCACTGTACCCCAATATCCCGCAGCTGCTGGCCCTTGGCTGATGGCCCCGAGCCAACATTCCCTAGCCCAATGTCCCTTGGTGGGGACTACGGGACGGCGCTGCAGCCCAGGGCGGTGTGTGGGCAGCAGACGCTGGAGCTACCAGAGCAACTTATTTTTTCTACAAAAAAATTTACATATGCAAACCCTCAAGAGGCGTGACCCTCTCCCACCCTGGCTGCTTCCCCTGAACCCGAGCAGCCCGTGGTCAGGGTCACACAGAGCCCTGGGTCCCCTTGCTGATGCTGCCTCCATCCCGAATTCGGGGGTTGTCCGGGCAATCCAGAGGAAAGGCTGGAACACTGCGGGGCTGGGTAGGGAGCGAGAGGAGCTTTGGCACGGGAATACCAGGGCCAGCAGGGACACCACAAAGCCCAGGGACACCCGGACCTCTCTGAGCTGTGCTTCACAAAGCCAGCCCCATGTACCCCGGTGTGCCCGGGACCCCCTCATGTCCTGCTCCCCACCACGGATGCTCACGGCTTTCTTTTCTGTTCCTGGGGACACAAACCCAGGCTGACGCCGTGTCCCGTGCTCCCCCGGTGCCCCCACCCATCACGGCCCTGCACCAGGCGGGGAAACATCCTGGGGGTGCTCTGGGGACCCAAACCCGCCCGGTGTCCCGGGGACGGCAGACGGACAGACGGGCTCTGGCACCCGTCGGGGGTCGCTGAGGGCTGTGGGGTCGCGCAGGGCTGGGATGTCCGTGCGGTTCGTGGGACGGTGTCTCCGCTCCCAGCCCGGCGCGGGGGGCACCGGCCGCACCCGCCCCGTCGGAGCCGGGGGCGTGGCCGTACCGGGAGGGGCGTGGCCGCACCGGGAGGGGCGTGGCCGCACCGGGCAGGCGGCGGGAGAGCGGCCGGGCAGGGCGGAGCGGCGGCGGCAGCGCGGGCTCCGGACGGGGACAGGGAGCGGGAGCGGCGGCAGGGACGTGGCCCAGGGCGGCAGCGAGGGTGAGAGCTCCGGGATGCGAGGCGTGCGCGGAGCCCCGAGGGCGGCGGGGCAGCCCCGGCAGCCCGGCGGGTCCCACCTCGCGCCGCGCCGGTCCGGTCAGAGCGGCGGAGCCCGGGTGGCCGGGATGAGGCGATGGCCGGGAGTTTCACGGGTCCGGGTGAAGCCCCGGCCGGGCGCAGTGCAGCTCCCATGAGCGGGTCGCTGCCGGGGGCTTTGCAGGGCTGCCGGGGACAAGGCACGGGCGAGGGCGGCAGGGGCAGGGGGCTGCGGGCAGCCTTGCTCCGGGGACGAAGGCACCCTCATCCCACCTGGTTCTCATGGCTGGGGACACGGCATGAGCCCTGGGACCTGGCTCTCTAGGGTGGGACACACCAGGAATGCCAGCTATGCCACAGGAGCCCGTGGGAATGACCCTTGGACCGCCAGGGGTGTTCGTGCTCTGTAGGGCTGGATGCGCTGAGAGGGACGGGAACAGCAAATACCTGCAGTGGTGATGGTGTGAGCCACGTCTGAGTTTAAACTGGGCACCATGAGGGTTTGCCAGGATGGATCTGGCACAGCCCCCAGCCTGTGCCAGTGAGGGTGATGAGCTCTCGTGGCTGTGCTGCTCCTGCTCTGCCCTCGGGAGCAAGGCTGACCCAGGCTTTGGAAAGACAGGGAATGACCATGGGGTGTTGTGGAGGTGACAGTGATGTTCCTCAAAAGCTGTGCTGTGCACATCGAGGGTTCAGCCCTGAGCTTCCTCCTTCACTGCCACCACCAGCACCTTCTGCTTTCTCTGCGCCCAGGTCTCCCTGGCCAAGGGAAGTACATTTGCAAGGGGTTTACCACTCTTGCTGCTTCTTGCAGCTTTCTTTTCCACTAAATTTCTTGGCGTGCTGGAGAAGTTGAGCATTTGCTCAACTGGCTGTTTGGGGCAGCTCCCACCCAGCAGAGATCAGGGGAGCACAGTGTGGAGTGCTGACCTATGGTGATGGGGGGCCATGGGCACTGGGGGTGCTGTGTGGGGACCCCCAAGCTGCAGCAAAGCTCACTGTGATCAGGACCCCTCTTTGCAGAGGATGCTGAGCGTGACTCTCTGCTGCCGTGGTGCCCAGTGCCTGCACCCTGTCCTGCATGCCCCAAGGGCAGGAAGCTGCTCCATGGCTGCTGCTGTTGTGTCCCCAAACTTCACCTCCTGTGACATCTCCAGGAGATCCCTTTCCCTCTGGAGTGTCACGGGGCACCCCAGCACCCTGAAGCTGTGGGAGGATCAGAGTTTGTCTGTCACAGCAGAGCACTGGGGTGGGCACTGGGGCCCTGTGCTGGGTGGGAGCTGATGGGAACAGGGCTGGACTGGGGCTGGAGCGGGGTTTTCACCTCTGTTGCAATGGCCTCACTTCCCCTTCCTTGGCTGCAGCATGGGTTGCGTGAGGTCAAAGGAAGCTGGTGCCCAAGAGAAGATAAAAACTGCTCCTGACCCTGATCCTGGCCCCACCATCCAGCAGGGCCACTATGTGAGGGACCCCACAGCCACCAACAAGAGGGTGAGTGAGAGAGATTTCAGGGCTGAGCTGTCACAGGGGGTTCAGCCCCTCTCCTCAGCAGTGCCACCAGCACTGAGAGTGGAGCCAGCTGAGGGCACTGGCAGTGCCTGTGCCCCGGGACAGGGACTTGGCTATGGGGTGGGAGCCCCGGCCACACTGAGACAAGCACAGAGTGGACCTGATGGGAATCCAGGAATTATAGAGAAAGGGAGAGAAAAAGGAAGGTGTTGGGAGGGGGTAGAGATGCTGCTGCTGGGCGGGCTGTCGTGTCAGGTGGTGCTGGTGCTGCCCTTCGGGTGCCCCCCTGCTCCTGCCATTGCCCTTGGGCCAAGACCCCCCATGGGAAACGGGTCTCTGCCATCTGTGATGTCACTCTGTGGTTTTGTTGCCCTTTCCAGAACAATAGTGTCCCCAGCACGGCTGTGCCCCTGCCCGAGGATGGTAGGTACAAGGGGGCTGCAAGTGGGTGCGGGGGGCTGGAGTGTGTGGGGGCAGCGTGGCCAGATCCTCTCTGACCTCGGGGTGAGCACTGCCAGTCCTGGAGGGGTGGGAGCTCTGGGCTCCCCTGAAGGGCCAGGCGTGACTCGATGAAGATGGAGGTGCTGGGTACTGTGGGGGTCCTGGCCAATGTCCTGGCCAGTGTTCATGGCAGGAGTGGCCGGGCACCCCATCCCAGCATGAGGAGGGGTGCCCAGGAGCTCCCTCGCTGCAGGCCTGGGGGACAGCCTGGTGCTGGCACTCTATGACTACGAGGCCATCAACGCTGGGGACCTCAGCTTCCAGAAGGGCGAGCGGATGAAGGTCCTGGAGAAGTAAGTGCTGCTGCCAGACCCCTGTCCAGGATCTCCTGATGCCTTGTGTGGCCCTGTTGGGATTTTTTTCTGGAATCTGCCCTGGATGAGCTGCTGGTGCTCAGGTCCAGCTATCAGGAGCCAAGCCAAAGCCACTTGTGTCACAGGTCAGGGGAATGGTGGCAAGCACGCTCGCTGGTGACAGGACGTGAAGGCTTCATCCCCAGCAACTACGTTGCCCAAGACAACTCGCTGGAGACAGAGGAGTGAGTCCATCCCCGTGTGCCAGATCCTGGCCCCATGCTGTCCCACACCTCCCCAGTGCCACTGTCCCTGCTCCTGCCTCATGTCCTGCCCCAGCCCTGCCCCACTCCAGCGCTCCTTGGTTCACTTGGCTCTGCTGCAGGTGGTTTTTCAGGAACATCAGCAGGAAGGACGCGGAGCGGCAGCTCCTTGGCCCAGGGAACATGATTGGCTCCTTCATGATAAGGGACAGCGAGACAACAAAAGGTGTGGAGGGGTGTCCACAGCGCCGTGGTGGGGAACAGCTGCCCAAAGGGCTTCCCTCATCCACCCTTGCCTGGAAGAGGAGCTCCCTCCCAGCCCTGGGGATCTGCTGTGCTGCAGGGAGGGACTGGGGGGCCATGCTCCGGCTGGAAGTGCCCCTGCAGTACCCACGGTGCTGCCCACATGTCTGAATCCCACGGGATGTGTCCCTTTGAGGCTGCTGTGGCTGTTTGGGGTGCAGGTAGCTGGGCTGGGGCTGAAGGGATGCTGGCAGCACGGTGGGGTGGGTGCTGCTGGGCGATGGCTCAGTGCACCCAGGACGGCAGGAAAGCAGGAATGTGCTCCCGTGGGAGCTGCCAGCTCAGCCCTCCCTGCGCAGGCTCCTACTCGCTCTCGGTGCGGGACGGGGACGAGCTGCGGGGCGGGGCAGTGAAGCATTACAAGATCCGCACTCTGGACGGCGGCGGCTTCTACATCTCCCCACGAAACAACTTCAGCACGCTGCAGGAGCTGGTCCAGCACTACAAGGGTGAGCCCTGGGGTGCCCGGCTCCCCTTCCCAAATGGGGCTTTGTCCCTGAGCCAAGCAGCCGGGCAGCTGGGGGTGTGCAGAGGCTGAGGGGCTCCTGCCCATCACCCCTGGGCTCTGACTGCGACATGCAGTGCCTTCCAGACCTTCCCCTGTTGCCTGCTGGCTGTCACAGCTGTGCTGCTGGTGTCCCTGAACACCCACAGTGGCCAGAACTCCCCCTTGGAGCACGGTGTGGCCAGTGGGACAGGCAGGCTGATGGCCCTGGGTGCTCTCCTCAGGTCAGAGCGATGGGCTGTGCCAGAAGCTCACCCACCCCTGCCGTGTACCCAAACCACAGAAGCCCTGGGAGAAAGATGCCTGGGAGATCCCTCGGGAGTCCCTGAGCCTGGAGAGGAAGCTGGGAGCTGGGCAGTTTGGAGAAGTGTGGATGGGTGAGAGTGAGGGGGAGGTGGCTGGGAGGATGATGAAGAGGATGGTGAAGGAGGAAGGGTGAGGGGTGTGTGAGAAGCTAAAGGGATGGGGCTGGGCATGTGGGGACAGCCCTGGGCTGTGTGTGGTCTCCAACCTTCCCGAGGGATGGTGGGGTGGAAAAGACAGGGAGGGAGTGACCTGAGGGAGAGAAGCAGAGGGACATGGAGGTGACCCTGCCTTAATGCAGGGGCTGGGTGGGGCTGGGCATGTGGGGACAGCCCTGGGCTGTGTGTGGTCTCCAACCTTCCCACAGCAGCTCAGCAGGGCTGGGACTTTGGCTCCAAAGCCCAGTGCTCCCAGAGCAGTGTAGGAATGATCTGTTGTGGCACCCCCAGCTACCTACAACAAGCACACCAAGGTGGCAGTGAAGACCATGAAGCCGGGCAGCATGTCCGTGGAAGCCTTCCTGCAGGAGGCAAACCTGATGAAGACGCTGCAGCACGACAAGCTGGTGAAGCTGCATGCAGTGGTCACCAGGGAGGAGCCCATCTTCATCATCACCGAATTCATGGAGAAAGGTCAATCTGCATCCTGAGGGATGTCTGTAGGCACTCAGGTTCCCTGGGATGGTGCAGGATCAATCCTTTCCACATCCCCAGGCTCTGCTGTGGGCTCTGCACCAGCTCCCAGGACTCTGGGAGCAGCTCTGGCTCCTGCCACAGCTCCAGGGCAGGTGCTGGGAGGGGGGATGTGGTGACACCACTGGGAGAGGAGGGACACCTAAGAGGGGGCAGAGGAGTACAAGCACTCTGCAAGGCAGGAGGGAGCCTGCAGAGGTGCTCCCCCCTCGGCCTACCCATGGGAGTGGGATCAAGTGTGTGTCCAGAGCCTCCTTGTGCTGCTTGGCTCCTGAGGACCCTGTGCCACCCTAAGGGTGGGTGCAGGCTCAAGCCAAACCAACAGCCCTGGCACCTTTCCCTGTCTGCAGGGAGCTTGCTGGATTTCCTGAAGAGCAATGAGGGGAACAAGCTGCCACTCCCAAAGCTGATTGACTTCTCTGCCCAGGTGAGGAAGGAGCAGACCTTCCCTAGCTCTGAGTGCCCCTTTCAGTCCCCCTGAAAAGCGTGAGTGAGGAGCCTGAGAACTTACCTGGAGCTTGTGCAGGGCCAGCCAGGAGCCTGGTCTGAGCAGTGCTGGAGATGCAGTGAGGTTTTCCTGTGGGCAGCCACTGCCTGCTCACCATCCCCATCCCGCTGACCTCACAGGAGCAGGGCTGTGTGAAAGGAGAAGTGGCAGCTTCCCCCTCACCACGCCAGTGTCTGCAGCACTCAGCTAGCCCACCTGCACCTGAGCAGTGCACAGCAGAGCTGCACAGGTGCTGGAGAGGACTGGCTGTGCTTCCATGTCTGCCACGGTTCCTGTAGCCCTCACAGCCCATGGGAGACTCTGCTTTGTGGAGAAAGTGGCACTGAGGATGGGGCTTGTTTCCACAGCTCACATTTGCACAGCCCTGGAATGGGCTGGTGCTGGTTGGTGTGCCCAACCAAGCCCAGGGCAATGTTATCAATTTCTATAATTGATAACTATTGATACTGGTAACTATAATTTCTGATTTGCTGTGACAGTTGCCTGCAAACTTTACCTGCAAACTTGGCCAAAGCCCCACAAATGCAGCATGGCCACACACCCAGCTCA